GCACCAAGTGCTTTCCATTGTTTCATGATGCCTCTGGAAGCAGAAACTTAGAGGGTGTGAATACTCCATTTCAGAAACCTGCAGGAACCTGGCTGCGCCCCCTACTATGGCATGTGTGGTTCATTCACATGATCTGGTTTGGCTTGTAGAACACTTGCGCTATTTGGCTCTCACTTCTGCAACCTACATAGGAGCAACCTATGAGCACTCAGTCCTCTAACATTGCTTGTGATGTGTGCATCTCAGTGTGATGTTTAGCTTACTAATTCTACAGAGCTCTACTAGCAAACCTGTGCAATGCATCCTGCTGACTTTCTGCCTGTCCTTTTGCTAGGCCAACCTGTCTTCAGGAAAGTTCATGCTAGAGAACATCCGATTCCCTCTACTGTAATCACCATTACAGGTACTCGTTTCATCATGATCCTAGAAAACCAGTGTGATGAATTTGAAGTGAACTGTCTTCAAATGTTCTTCAGGTCTTTAGACATTAACGTGACCCAGTTTAGCCCCTGTCCCCTCCAAAACATTGCTGAATAATGCAGTGGCTCTCTGTAGCTGGGGTTGATGGCAGATTAGCAGCAACAACACACGGCCCCATTGGCACAGGACAGGAGGTGTGCATGGTAGAGGGATTAGCATGGACCATCAGAGGGGATTGATCCCAATGGCCTCTCCCGCTCAAGTTTCAATATATCCCATGTTGCTTGCAAAGCTTGCTTCTCAAGCATGGGTCTTTCATTCCAAGTATACTGAAGTCACTTTGAAGGCAAGCTGTATTTCTTCCCAGAGCCTGCCTTTCCTGCCTTCAGCCAACATGATGTGAGCCATATGTGCATAGATGATAGTCCATCTGTGAGGTTTCTCCAGAGGGGAACATTGGCAGGGTGACTGGAGGATCCCACAACTATCCCAGATCTCCCTAGGTTCAGAGTCCACAAACCATCTCCTTGACCTGCATCTCCGGATGAGGACACAGATATTCACTCTTTGGTGTCACCACAGCCCCTCACTGGCTATGGCAGTAGAAACTACATGTCTATCTGTCCCAGTAACTCCTTCTTCATCCCCACCTCCCACACCCCTACTCAATGATCATGATACCCAGCCCTGACTGCAGAGTTGTTCTAGAATATTCCTCATGGAAACAAAAGTACAAGTCTCCTCAGGCTCTTAACAGAGAGGCCAGTGCTGACCACTGTCAAGAGGTCTCTGCTCTCAGACTTTCAGCATAGATCCGAGTCAAAGATTAAAATAGCCTGGAGCCAGTTATCCCACCATTGGCTTTGTACCCCTTTTCCAAATTCGAGGTTGTTTGTTAAGATTAAAAATGGCAAATACATTAAGAAGAATCAACAGTAGCTCCTCAGGCACAGATCTGTGGGTTGTACTGTTTTCTAATAGGGATCCCTCTCAACCCTTCACTGCTCACAGTGACGCTGCAGCAAAATGCAGCCTGAGCCAGAAAGTGTCAGCAGTAGCTTGTGCATCCCTCTGCTCTGTCCAGACCCCAGGTACCTACTAGCTTCTGTGATTTACTAGCTACAGAATCGATTACCAGGAGAAGGGAGGCTCCCCTACTGATGATTTTATCACAGGCTTGTTTTATGTCCTATCAATACTGATTTCAACCGTGGCTATTAATTATACATTTGATCTTTAAGTTGTGTTGGTTGGTTAAGATCATGATGTTATATGATATGTGATTTATTATTAGCTTGTCAATAAATATGATGAGTTTGAAAAGTACACGTGCGTATATATATATATGTATATATATATGGAGAGACAGAGAGAGAAAATTAATTTTCTCACTCTGCATAAGTAAGGAAATGAAACTGATTTGACCATAGTAAAATGGATTGCATTTGATCCAACACTCAAAGTTGAAAAGGAAACAAACATAATAGATAATTTTAAAATGCTGTTAAACTATTTCTCTTTTCAATAAAATTTATTTAAAAGAGGACACTTTTTTAAAAATAGACTCAGCTATCTTCTTTGCCAGTGTCAAAAATTTGCACCATCAATGCTAATTTATTAGTATCATTATAGAGCAGTAATAGGATTTACCCAGCTGCCCTTTCTCAGTTACATATAAGTGGAGTGAGATCTTACACGTTCATGACATTGAGTCAATGAAATTAGCCCCGACCCTTCCATGACAGTGAGCCTTTGTGCTTTAACTTCTCTCTGCCTGGAATGCCCCTCCTTACCCTACCACCACCGTCACCTGGCAAGCTTTTATACCTGCTGCAAGGCCAATTTCAAATACCTCCCCTGTCCTGAAGCCTTCCCTGACGCCTTCAGACAGAGTGAGCTGCTTCTCCACCTGCTCCCTCAGCCCTTACCTTGCACTACTAGAAGTTGCCACACCCACATGCCTCGATTCCCACTAGACCACAGGTTCCTGGGAAATGGGGGAGGAGGCTTCAGTGTGCTCACATATTGTAGGAGCCCAATAACATTTGTTAAACGAACAAATCATCTTTACATACAAAGAACAAATAACAGGTCTTATCTAACAGTGAGTTGGAGAGTCTCACAGCAAATATTTATTGAATACCTACTACATTTTATACATTGTAATGGCGGTTGTGATCACAGTTTGAAGAGCAAGGAGACATTCTGTCTCGCTAAGTTTACATGCTGGGTATTTATATATAAAGATAACCAAAAAATTTTTTAAATATTAGCAAGATTTGTGCTCAGTGTACACAACAAATATAATGGAATTACTATAAAGTTGGAATGGTCATTCCTAAATAGGTCAATCGGGATATTTCATGCAAGAGGAGGCGGAGTTTTGAAAGATTAAGTTGGGTTTAGCTGGGTGGAAATGGGGAAGCATTTCCAGATAGATAGACAATAGTTTAAAAGTGTAGCATTAAATTCAAGTCAGGTTTGGAGCAAGAGTAGGAAGTAACAGAAACAAGCTTCTTTGCTTTCCTATAGGTTGGTATGAACCTATTCAGAGAGTGTTTCCTAAATTTTGTTTATTCTCTTACCTCCTTTATAATATTTGCCTTTATAACATACCAACTATATTTTCATTTACTTAATGTAATATTCTGAAATTGCCTCATGTTTGTGCTCCACTAGATTTGTTTTTAAAACAAAATTGTCACTAACACAAATGGAAAGCTAGTATCAGTTTTCATTAGTAGTAAATAAGGTAAAGAGAAGTTAAGAATGGAAAAAAGTTATTAAATTCTAACTAAATACAGCCAAATGCTCTTTGCCTGAGGACTGTTTTCTCTTTCTTAAATGGTAGAAACCCAAATGTCAGAAACTAGTTACAGACCAGCAGCACCAAACTAAGCATTTCTTGATCAGAAGGACTGAAAGATGATTAAAAAGGGAATAACCTTTTCACTCACTGTGTGATTCAATTTCATTTCCTACCATGTCCATTTATTCAATACCATACTCCAAATCATTTCGCTTTGTGAAATGCAGCATCAAACAATGCCTTCAAATCACTCTTCTTTTGTAATTTCTCTGTTACTTGAATCCCATTAAAATCACCTTGAATCCCATTAAAAGCAACTTACCATTTATGAGTGAACTGCAGAAAAGGGAGAGGAATAATAAATGCTATTCCCCAATAGCTTTGCAATTCAAATAAAAATCCAAGTTGTAATAGTTCTTCTGAAACAAATAATTCTAACTTGATGTAAGTCTTCAAGGCATGCATGTTCAGCCAAGGTTTTGAACAAAGAGATTAATATAACCTGCTGTTATGAAAACTACCAACAACATTATCCTGTGTTCAAGGATCAGATGCAGTAAAAATCAAAACATGATTGATGTGTACACTGAGTAAATTGGACATCACATACGTCAGCCCACCCCCTCGACTACACACACATAATTTCAAGGACAAATCTTAGGGATGCCAATCAGAACCCTTTGTCTTTCCCTTGGGTCATAACTTTCCAAGCCTACTTTTAAAAAGATGACCACTGTTACAGTTAAAATTAATCCCCCTGCACCTCTCCTTTGCATCTGCTAACATTCAGCAGCAGTTTCTGGCCCATCCCAAATCACTTCTTTTTAGTCTTTATCCCATATCTTCAGGGCCGTGTAATCACTGGGGATAGGAAAGCAGATTCTGAAATAGCGTTTTAGGAAGACTCTACTGAACGCATACTAAAGAATTCATTGATATGCCACGCTCTGCTTTGGGCTTCCGTTGGTTTTTACTGGTGGTGTACATAAAATGCTAGCGGTGCCTTTAGCCCATCTGCTCTGTGCCCTAGCAGTGAACGACTGGCCTAGGAACCAGTTGTTGCAACATTTGCTAGAGTATCACATAGAACCATCACAGGAGGCTCCCTCAGCAGAGGGAAGCCATGTATCTTTGGACGGAATGGAAGGTATGGACTTCTGCAGAAGCTGATGCCTAAATGCAAAAGGCAGGGAGCCTGGGTTAGAAGTCCCTCAGTCAACAGACTCCTACCACAGGCAGTGTGCCTGGATAGTTCTAAAAACGAGCGCATCAGGGCTGAAGTCTTTCTATACCACTGATACTGCTTCCTTGGAGATGAGGGTTATTCCACTAGACTGTGAGGGGAAGTGGCCTGCCTTGCTGCAGCATCCTGGGCCTTGAGGATAAAGGGGCTGGTGAGTATAGGAATAGTGTTTGACCTTCACATGTGCATGGCCTTTTCGGTCTGGGATTTATCCTAATGACCTTCAAGCAGAGAGGAGCCAACTGTGCGCTTCCCCTCAGTAATGGACTCTCCAGTCCAGTAACATTTTCTCAGCACCCCCTAGGCTCCCTGGGGTGTAAACTACATGGTGGTTCTGGAAATAGTCATGCTGACGTGGTGAGTAGTTTTAACTCCCCAAAGGTATCACCTTTACCCTCCCTGTTTACTTTAAGATTAACATGGTCAAGGTCTTCCTAGCACATTTCAGCTTTGCACCAAAGAGAGGAAGCCCTGAAGCAGGCATCTTACTGAACCATCAGATGGATGTTTTGCTTCTTAATTTGCAACAGGGGTTCTTGGCAAATGAGAGGCTACGGTCAGAATTTCCCTTCCATCATCTCTTTGGCCGTGGGGCATTTCTGTTGCTTCTAGAAAGTGGAGAGAAAGAGGCCAGATTCCTTTACCCCTTGAGTCACTCTCACTCTTTTACTAGTAATTATGTTTCCTTTTGGTCATGTGATAAAGGAATGTGCGTGAACAGCCAGATGAGCCAGTGTCACAGGGGACAGCAGAGTGATTCCCACAACGTAGACGACGTGCAGGCAGAGTTTGTCAGTGATGTGTCCCCATAGTTGTTTTTCCTGGTCTGCACTTCCACGTGTGCTTAGGCTGCGGGACTTTATAATCTCTTGCTGTCATAATGGTAGGCTGCCTGACATACTTAGCATCTGTCTAATACTCCCTCCAGACTTATGGTCTCACCAGGGAATTTTAGTAGGTCATTAGGGCTTCCTTCCTTCTCCGTTTCCTGATCCAGGGAATTCCAAATAAAATTGAGCACATTGCTCACACTTTCTTGCCCTTGCCTTTCACAGAGGAATGTGACGACAAGCAGCCGCTGACCAGCAAAGAGGAAGAGGAGAGGCGCATTGCAGAAATGGGGCGCCCCATCCTGGGAGAACACACCAAGCTGGAAGTGATCATCGAGGAATCCTATGAATTCAAGGTATGCTCACCCACACCGCCCGCCCAGGAGGCTAGGGCCATCCTGGGATCAAAGCTTCATATGTCTGATCCACCTGGAAAGAGAGGCAGATTTAATTTCAGGAACTTGCTCACTAACTGAGAGACCTTCACAGCGGCAGTAGAATTAGACTGTTAGTAGGGAATCAAGAGTTCCCAGGAACCAAACAGCATCAGAACCAGGACTCCATGGGTGGCATTTGTCAAAGGGTCAGAGGTGGCCCAAAGGGAGGGCTTCGTCTGCGAAAGTAGCAAGGAAAGAAGCAAAGGTGGATTCCAGGAGAGTGTTATGTGTGGAGGAAACCAAGGTCTATTTGAAATATCTAATAAATCTACTAGAAGAAAAGCAATCACACCGAAATCTAGGTGGCTTTTGTTAGATACTGAAAAGTAGGAGGCTTCTGTTTGGGAGGGGAGATGGTAAGCTCTCCCTATGGAACATCCCATCGACCAATGCCCATGGATATTTAGTCATCCTCTTAAGGTCCCAGGACATTTTAGCACACTCAGCATACTGAAGGTATAAGCCTGTGACCCGAGAGCTCATCATTGTGCTGATAAAATCAAATTCCCAGTTCTCTAGATCAGTGGTCGGCAAACTCATTAGTCAACAGAGCCAAATATCAACAGTACAACGATTGAAATTTCTTTTGAGAGTCAAATTTTTTAAACTTAAACTATATAGGTAGGTACATTGTTATTAACTTAATTAGGGTACTCCTAAGGCTTAGGAAGAGCCACACTCAAGGGGCCAAAGAGCCGCATGTGGCTCGTGAGCCGCAGTTGGCCGAACACGGCTCTAGATGATAACAATCATTTTGCAGAAGTTAAACAAATAGGCCTTAGGGTGAGCTTAGGACTTTGAGGCGCAAGTTCCTATCCATTCTTAGCTACTCCCTCTGTCCTTAGTCCACGTCCCATCCCGCCTCACTCACATCACCCTAACATCTGAGAAGACTCTAGCAGAGCCACACTTAGTTCTGTGGGGGGATGAGGAGAGCATGAAAAGGAGCAGCCTTTCTCTGGCTTTCCAGAACTGCAAATCCAGAGCACAGCAGTATTCTCTCCACTTGTTTTTCTTTCTTTTCTTTTTTTATTGATTTCAAAGAGCAACAGAGAGAGAGAGAGCGAGGCATCAATGATGAGAGGGAATCATTGATCAGCTGCCTCCTGCATGCCCTCTACTGGGGATCAAGCCTGCAACCTGGGCATGTGCCCTGCCTGGGAATCAAACCATGACCTCCTTGTTCATAGGTCGACTGTCAACCACTGAGCCATGCCAGCCGGGCTCCACTTGTTTTTCAAAAGCAGACTCTGCTTCTGTTGGGAAACCAGAGTGAGGGGAGAATCAAGCCACCAGCATAGAAGCCTCAGTGTTTTATCTGGATTCTTTGTCGCCGTGGCCTCTTCCTTTAGCAGGGCCCATTAATCTTTTTTGTTGTTGTTTGTTGTTGTTATTATTTAGTTCACAAATTGAGGTGGCTTAGAGAAGACAGGTGGAGAGTAAAAATGCTTTTGCAATTAAAGTGGAATTTTTAAAAGATAAAAATGCAATTAAACTTCCCCCTTCAAGTAAATGAAAAATCTCTTAACTTTGCTTTCACTCATTCCCCTAGAAAGAGCAAGTAGGGGTCAATTCCAAGATCAGTGCTTTCTAGGCAGACCCTGCCCATCAGAGCTCACCTGTTGTTTGGTCTGGAACATGACTGGTGCACACAAGCTCCCTGTAAGTCCAGAGTACAGATATTTCAGACCATCTAATTCCATGGACCAGACTGTCCAGATGTGCCCAACCTCACTCTTCCTCATGCACCTTGTTTTAGGGAGAATCAGAGTGTCCGGTGCCACTTGCTGCAGCAGAGACTCTCTGGCTAGGCATTTCTTGTCTCCCACCCCTCCCCGGCCACTGATGGGGAACTGTGTGTTCGCTCCCTTATACCACACAACCCCCAACCTTCCCCTTCCATGTACTAGGACAAGGAAGAGCAATCACAGTGCCTTCCTGTAGGAAGTGTTAGGTTGAGTTGGGTACGGTAGGGCAGTCTTTCAGAGAGCAATGCTTTCTTGAGTCCAAAGCTCTCCCTGGTAACCACCCTATTGATCTGAGCATTTAACAGTCCTCCAAATCTGTTTACGTAAATCTAGTTGTTTGGGGCACTTATCTTCCTAGAATAGTTTCCATAGACTATTTCCTTCATCCTGTCTCCTCAGAGTTCATCAGTACAGTTACTGTTATCAGTAAAGAGTAACTTGGGGGCATTTTTCTCAAGTGCCCTCAAGTATCATTTTTGATACTATATTATCCCCTTAAGAAATGTATTTTTCTAGACCATGGCTATTTTAAAGAACTTGTTTAAATGTTTCAGAACTGCATTAAAGTCCCACATCCGGGTGACACCTTCCAATGTTCCACTGGGTTCTTCTTTACTTGTGACTGAGAGCTTGACTTTCCCAAGACCCATTGCTGAAGGTGAGGTTATAGCAGTCGCTTACAAGGCAGTAAAGGGTTTGTCACTGACATATAGGAAATCTCCAGATAAGCATAGATGGCATTACCCCAAGTTCAAGTGTCTGAGCTTCAGATTCATCTTATTCCTTCGGTCTCCTCCCATGGGTCAAAGGAGGACACATATTCAAATTAAGTCCTAGGAAGAACCCAAGCTATCTCATAGTCCCCCAAGGTTAACATGAACTAAAAGTTGATAATCTATCCTGAGTATTACATATTTATAAATTTTAAGTTTATTCTAAAACTTAGTTCTTTAGAGATATTTCTTGAGGCAAGTCTGCATTCAACTGTTAGACCAGTTTATCTGTTCGACTGTTTATCTCCAGGTGATAAACATGAAATTCTCTGGCGAGATCTGCCCCCAAGTTTCCATTACATTTAGGAAAAATCAAGGTCATTTCTTGTTTCATTCTACACAGAGTCTTGGCATCAACCAAGACACTCAGAATGCTTGATGAGATGTGGCTGAGCTGAAAGAGAAAAGCCAGATGCTTGCCACACACTTAAGTTGTGGTGGCCAAGAGCAGTGATGGCTATAGCTACTCTCTGAAGCACTAGCAGTTCTAGACACAAGGCCTGAGGCCGAAAGGTCACCACCTTAAGGACAAACAAGCTAGCCAAGAATGGTGTTGGCAACCCAGAGTGGGCCAGTTGGAGATGGGCCCTCTCATGTTATCGCAGTATTTCAAGTCAGTTCAAAAGACTCTTGTTGAACTAACACACTTGGCATTCTGATTTAGCTTTGGTCTCTAGACAGGCCCCTCGGATCGCTTTTTTTTTTTACCCCCATTTAGCTGATAACGTGCTCTCTCTCTCAAACCGTAGTCAATTCAGGTACACTTCGTTAAATGTGTGCAGAGTTTGACCTGAGACAAATAATACATGTTTCAGCCTCTTTACCATTAGTGGGAATTCGAGGATGCTCTGGCAGTAAGGGTGTGGGGGTAGTGTAGTCTAGGTGGTGGTCCCTCTGGAAGAGCAGCCCCGTGTCCTGGACATGACCCTGCTCCCTGTAGTGGCTGTGATGTGGTAGTGCTTTGGGTGCATCTTAGTATTTTTGCAAATGCTCGGCTGCTTCCTCTTGTTACATTAAGTGACAATTAACTACAAAGTGCTAATTGTAAAAACCAAGTGCTTCAAAAAGGTGGAAAGAAAAATAAGGGGTTCAGTGTTAGTAAAGCAGGGAGGATTCAAGGTAAATAGCGATGTGCCCTAAACTCTATGCATTGTCCTCTTCTCGACATGTTTGCAATAGGAGAAGAATGAGAGTGAGTTCTCTGACAGCCACCAGGCTGACAAAATCAGGAGTCAGAGAAAAATCCATTTATGGGTGATCCTACAGCAGCAATTTGGAGGTTCTGCTGTCTGGCTGCAATGTATTGATAAACAAAAGTACAAGAACAGTTTCTATGCTTATAATCCACCTGCCAGTTCCGGTATTCACAGATATGTAACTGCTGAGCAGGACATATGTGAATTCAGTTGCAGACAGCACACTATAGATAAAGCCAGTCGAGAAACAAGTTCATAAAGCATTTAGGGGGAGAGGGGTGGGCTTTTGCAACATCTGTTCTTCTGAGCGCCGAGACCATTCCTCATTGGCCACTTAGGCGGCGGAGGAGGCTTGTGTTCGCTATGAAGAACAAGTTTCCCTTTCAGCATGTTTCCAAGTAAGGACTGTGCCTGTTTGCATAATCATAACAGTGTTTGATGTCAATGCTGTTGTTCTGAGCCTAACATCTGCTACCCTTTATATAACTCTGGGGTTTCAAAAATCATCAAGGTCTTAGCTTTTCCAAGGCTTAACTAACCCAGCAGTTATTATCTTATCCTTTTCAACCTTTCTAGAGCACCGTGGACAAACTTATTAAGAAGACAAACCTCGCCCTAGTGGTCGGGACGAACAGCTGGAGAGAGCAGTTCATTGAAGCGATCACTGTCAGTGCCGGTGAGTGCCTCTCTCTGCGTGTTATAAATTCTAACGACCAAGCTGCGCTTTCTTTCTCTACTGTGACCACCGGTCTATGTCAAAGTACCAAAGAACTTCCGTGATGAAAATTGAAAGAGAAATGAATGTACTGGTAGCATACATGCACATTTGGGGGACTAATTTAGACTTTCTAGGTGAAGCAGATGTCCTCAAACGTGACAGTCTTCTTCATCTACGTTGCTCCCTTCTCCCTGGAAATAGACCCGATACATGTAGAGCCTTTTGGGTCTCTCGGGGAGCCAATCACCAAGCTTTGTCTGGAAAAATCCCTGAAAGCGGAAGTGGTCAACTGAAGGTCACAAAGGAAACAGCAAGCTCCTAGGCGGGCCAGGCTTATATGTCCTCACTTCCCCACCACCGTCTGCGTCATTTCACAGTCCTCCAACCACGCCTCACCAGTAAGTGTCTGCACCGGCACTAGACGTGCAGATAGAATCACATTCTCTTTCTTCCTGTATAAGCGAAGTGCAGAGTTTTATTTAGGAAAACCCTACAAAATGAATTGTTTTTGCAAACTCAAGGAGCCAGAGACCCTGAGGGACTTAAATATAGAAAGAAGTGTTCCTTTCCTGGGTTGTCACGCCTTGTCGTGTGTGCTCGTATAAAGACAGAGCACAGTCCCTCTCACATACTCTGAAAGCAGCAGTTCAGTGGGACTTTTTTTTCCCTCCAGTTCTTCTGCTCCAGCTCCACTGGATTTTTTCTCTTTAGAGATCCCTGCAGGCTCAGCTTCTACTGTTCCAGCTCATGAACAAAGCTGGGGTTTTCTAAATAGTAATTCCCAAACTGTAAAATATGGAAACCGCATCCCCAGCAGTTGGGCTATGACTTCTAACACAGCCCCCTCTTCCCAAGCTGCCACAGAACCACTTGACAGATCTCCCAAGTGCTGTGGGCACGGGGGGTGGTAAAGATTTTTGTGCCTGAATTAGTGCTGTTTATAATCACATGTGGTTTCTTGTGATTGAGTATACAATGGAGACTTACGAATATTAAATGGCGAGTAATTGCTTAGGAGAGTAGATTTGGAATTTACGTGTAGACTCTGATAGGTGAAAGGACAGAACCACTTGACAGATCTCCCAAGTGCTGTGGGCACGGGGGGTGGTAAAGATTTTTGTGCCTGAATTAGTGCTGTTTATAATCACATGTGGTTTCTTGTGATTGAGTATACAATGGAGACTTACGAATATTAAATGGTGAGTAATTGCTTAGGAGAGTAGATTTGGAATTTACGTGTAAACTCTGATAGGTGAAAGGGGAACCTCCTTGGCATTTGGGCTGCGATAACAAAATACCATAGACTGGGTGGCTTTTAAACAACAGGCATTTATTTCTCACAGTTTTAGAGGCTGGGAAACCCAAGATCAAGGTACTGGCAGTGCTGGTGTCTGGTGAGGACCCTCTTTCTAGTTCATAAATAACTATCTTCTCTGTGTGTCTGCACAGGGGGAAAGGGGTGAGGAAGCTCTTGAATCTCTTTTACAAGGGCATTAATCCCATTCGTGAGGGATTTGCCCATCTTTGAAAACCTTTATCTCCAAATACCATCATGTTGGGAAGAAGGTTTCCGCATAGGAATTTGGATGGGACACACAGGTGCAGTCTATAGCACTCCCTCATGATGGCTTATGTTTTCTATAAATCTAAGATTAGTATCTGAGGCATGAACTGTACTCTCTCTTCACAGAGAGAAAAACTAAAAGGACAAAGACAACTTGAATAAGAAACTGTTGGCGAGGGCAATGGTAGAAGATGTAAAAAATAACCCAATTATTTTATTGTGGACTTTGACACATCAGATTTGAAATATCAAAAGCAACCTAAGACTTAATGCACCATTACTAGTAGTTTCCAGGTTTCCTTTGACTGAAGCTATAGGAGCATCTGCTTAATGGTCATGTGCTGGACATGATCCATTTGTTTGTCTATATGTTAATCGTTGTTCTTGGTGTGAGGGATATGACAGTGAATGAAACAGGCAAACAACCCTGCCCTAATGGAGCTTCATTCATACAGCAAATAAGTAAAATATGTACGTTATGTAGGATATTGTTCATGACAACAATAAGGCTATGGAGAGAGACAGGAAGTATGAGTATGAGCTGCATTGGACAGTGGCCAGGAAGACACTGTTATAGACACATCAATACCAGATATCTTTTTCTAGTCATGGAGTGGTTTTGTGTTGGTTCCTTCACACATTTTTTTAACTCTCACGGACCAGGCTAAATGTTTTATGACCCCTCTATGGCAATCGAAAAGGGTTGATTTAAACAGTGAAAGGTTGTGCTGCAAACCTGGCCAAAGTTGTGTATTTGATCCTGGGCAGAGTAGGTATACAGAGAAACACCCATAAAGATGCTATACTTTCGTATTTGAAAAGGGGAAGGTTTGGGCTTGCAAACATTTTTAGATATTAGGTTGAATTAAGTCCTCTCAAAATCCCACGGAAGAGGTGTTAAGAGTATTCTTACCTCTAGAGGAGGAATCTGAGCCTCAGCTAGGCAGTACTGCTTCGCAACATAACTCAGAGCCCAGATCCACTAACTACTAGTCCAATGTGCTGCCCACTGCCCTTAAGAGAGAGAACTTTCAGAGTGAGAAAAGTGTTCCCACCTCTGTCTCATTGAATGACACTAGTCTTGTCACCTCTCCTGGTGCCATTCTCGGGATGGGACTAACTTCTGCCCAGCTCCTTTTGTCATAGGCACCTCCCACCGGTGTTACCGAACAGCCAGTGAGAGAGGCCTGTCCCCAACCTCGATCCTTGTCTTCTCATGTAAATAAACTTATATGAGAGACTATATTGGGAAAAGCCAATTTATTAAAGCTATTAAAGTATGCACATTTATTGAAAAGGCAAAGCAAGCAAGCAAACCTATACATCTGGATTATGAAGCGCAGACGGGCTCTCAGCTAGTCTGAAGATCAGGTTGGGTGGGGGTCTGAGGGGTTCTATACCCTCCTGTCTATATGTTTGAAAATTCCTTTGCTGCATAATTTGATACAGACTGATTCTCCAGATTCCCCCCTCCCTCTTTTTTTACTTTGTTGGGGACTTCCCAGAATTTATGAGCAGCCCCAGCAACGCTGTCATGCCAAGCCTTGATACTGCTGGCTTCTCTGCTCAGGGAGTAGAACTGTCTTTTTTCCTTCCCCCTTCCCTTCTCCCTTTCTGCATTCTCTCATTAGGGAAGTTTTTTTGGAACCATTTGCTCTCCTGTCCTTGGCTGGAGGAGTTAATGGCTGGTTAGTTACAAGCTGGCTGCAAATTGCTCACTGTTTGGCCTTGTTCTAACATTCCTGTCTCAGTTTCCCCATTTCTCCTGCCCTGGAATCCTATAACACTTTGAAGAAATGTTAATGAATGAAATGCAAAACCTCTCAAGTATTCTTATGCATCGTATTGGGTTTTTATGCTCTTAAATGACGGCTGGGGAGTAAGACAAAATTGCTTAGAAATTTGCAGGTTTCAGGGTACATTGACCTGATTTACAATTTTTGAGACCGAATATAAGGAAAGCAAACTCGCATTTTACGGGCACTCAATTACCTGAAAGGCAGTTAGAAAGCTCAGTGTTTGTCTTTAAGATTAAAATTAAGCATCTAAAGAATGTTAATTTTCTTAGGCTGTTAAGTGGACAATAAAATTGGTAAAGCAGCATTTATTAAAAACAGACTTTGATTGGATTTAAGATTTCATGGCTAAATAGTTGCGAATCAGAAAGATTTGCCTTATTAAAAATATGGAATTGCTTTGCAGTGGCTCTACTGGGAGCGTTTCCCTATGCAATTTTCTGTGCAAAATTAAGTCTATATATCTTGCTAAACAAAAATAATAATTGTGTAAGCAGGAGTTTGCCTCTGTTTTTCACTGATTATATTTAAACTAGTTTCAAGGTAGACCCCTGGCAGTCTTTTTATTCCCCTTCTTTCCCTGAATTTCATAGCTCAGTTGCTGGGCCTCCTATGACCATCGTGTGTCTGTGAACCAAGTTCTTACTGTTCAGTATTTGAAGACTGAAAGGATTTATGAGACTCCAGAGATTAGGTAGGGATTAAGCAGTCAGGGCCCCGTGGTCCTCCCATCATTTCCTGCTGGAGTTACCAGGAGCAGTGGCTGCCACAGTTGCCTGGCTGTCAGAAACTTTCAAGGCAGCCCAATACCTCCACCAGGTTGGCTGACAATGTGTCGGCAGAGAGATGGATGTCTAAGCAAAGCTAGCATGCACTGCACGTCCGGTGTGAATTTCCCCAGTGCATCTGCCAGGACAGAATGGAGGGTCGGCTTTAAGAAATTACGTACCAGCTAGGATCCAAGGGAGCACTGGGGTGTCCAGGAGAAGGGCAAACATCGGCTGGGGAAGGAGAACCAGAGGCCCATGCCAATCCCACAACTACCGCATTGCTGCGGTGAGGTGAGCGGGAGGGCCATGGCGAGCCTGGCTTTGGAGGCAGATGTGGGTTTGTGGCCCAGACCTCCAGAAACCCTCTGGGTGATTCTGGGCAGCTTACTTCACCTCTAAATCTCAGTTCCCTCAGCAGAAAGTGACCACTGCTCCTCTCTCATGGGGGTGCTGTAAGGATTCATCGATCACAAAGGCTGTCTAGACTATTGGAGACCACACTTGGTCGTTGTGAGGCAAATCATACTGAAGATCCTAAAATAAAATATAACTACCTGGTGTGTAAATGAAGTCAAATCAATTTAATTACTAAAATTTCTCAAAGACTAAAGACATGGCTCGTCTGTTTAGCTTTATAGTGTTAGACATGTGGCTTTATATCTAAGAAAATCAATGTTACTTGCTCAAAAAGTAACACTGATCAATGGCAGTGCAGAGTCCGGATCAGCCCAGGATTCATTCCAGTGTGAGGAGAACGTCATTACAGAGGAGACACTCATCATTTCATGTGTCAACCTTGGGTCATAGGAAAATCCCATTTAAGCAATT